TCTTTTTTTATAATTATCGTTTATATTACAAATTATATTCACGTGTTTTATATTAAAATGCATTTAAACAAACAAAATAATGTATTAAAGTCCCTATTCTTTTCAAAATCTATCCAAATCATTATTCTCAAAACACTTTTCAGACCGTTAAAAAAAATTATTTTAAAAGGGCGATAAACCTTAACATCCATATATGTAAACATAAATATATGATAAATATATGACCTATTAAATTATTTGACTTTTTCTGTCATTTCATGACTAACGATCCGTAATATCATCACCCATGACAAATAAATGGTACTTTGTGATGTCCCGCAGAAGAACATGCCGTTCTGGAGAGTGTCGAGCAGGCCGGATCTGGAGGCGTTGAGTCATGCACTTGAGCTGGATTACCTCTAGACGGCAGCATCTGCTCGTCTGCCAAGAACTGCAGGACCAATCAGCAGGGAGCAGCAATCTTACTGGGAAAGTTTGCTTCAAATCAGTCCAAGAAAAACACTTTTTTTTCTCTCTTTCTCGCTCTCCACCTGAGAGGCTCGGCTCTTTCATCCACTCGCTTTTCTTTACAACAGCACTGCACTGAAAACAAAGACCCATCAGCGACTGATTCAGAAAGCCTGTGTCCGGATAACATCCTATCATACTTCTCATACTATTTCTGCATTACGCAGCATATATACTGTGCACAGTATGTGTATTTTCTGTTTGTGCAGAAACCCGGATGACAATGGAGCACAATGCATGCATATCCCAGAATGCAATGCACTTGACTCGAGTTTTAACATCTCATCTCTTTGGACTGCCAAAAAATGAAAACAGTTCCCACAAAAACTGGATTAAAAATGCAAAATAACCTTTTTATTTCTGAGATGATTATTAGAGGTCATGTGACATCAATGCAGCAAACTACTGTTTGAAATGTTTATCATAATGCATAATGTGTACTATTTTTATATTAAGCAGTATGCGGTGTAAACTGTGCTGTAATGTTTGTTAGTATTGCTTTCTGAACATAGCCGTTCTGAAACAACCCATTTTACAGATAAAAGGGGTGTCAAAATAGAAGATTTTAGCATTAAAAAAAAAATAAGATTTACATTTCGTAAAGCATGAAATCATATGCATTTCCATGAAAAAAGACCAAATTCATAAGCGAAGAAAAAAAACCCCGATTTGATAGAATTTTATGTAATCAAAACTGATTTTTTTTCTTGCAATATCATATTAAATTGATTGAATATTGCACCATACACAAAAAAAGGAATCATTAAATAAATATTAACTGAATTAAAATGAATTGAGACTAAATTAAGATATGTGCTGTTGTACTAAAATGGCAGAAAATCTAACCCCTCACGTTTTATACGAGTACAAAGTACTGCAAATCCACTTGTTTGAATGGAAAACCCATGAAACCATAAACTAACCGTGAAATCTGCCAAAGTATTGTAGTGGATGATACTGCTAATGTTACGAAAAGAAAAGACATGATTAACTTATGAATGTCAGTGTCCTGTGAGTTTCTTTTCTTCCTGTGTCTCTGACGTGTGCCTGGATCTTCATGTGGCTTGTTACTGATGTATATTTCTTTCTTTGCTGAAGTTGATATACTGTATACTGTATGTGTCGCTCTGACCTGCATGTGCTCTTCACAACTGCTTCTGTTCGCTATGATTTGTATATAAGGTTTTATTGTTGATTATTTCTGGGCTTATTATAATAGAATAAAGATAAATTAATTTCATTCACGAGTTTCTTTCTTATTATTCATTTATTTTACATCAAGTAATGTGAATTTAGAGTGTAATGCGCTTAACGTTCATCGTGTTGCAAAGCAAAAAATCTTGATCCTAAGAAAAATAGGCTTCATTGTCTTCCTTCAAAATTTGCAATGTTTCTCTTTTTATTGTGTGGTTAAATATGCTACAGACAATATACCTTTTCAAATATCTGTTGTTTCTCTGTCTCCAGGTACACTTTTTTTTTCCATAGTATAACTGCATACTTATTAGAACGCTAGCTTGTGTCTGAAAATAAATACTGTTAGTCCAGGGTTAATAGTGGGAGAAAATAGTGGATTTACAGATAAAATATACGTCATAAAATCGTCAGCAATAAACACAGAATACATGTTTATGACAGTCTATATCTAGTCTCGGATAATATATCAGCACTCCAATATACAGAGAATCAGAGTAATAGGTTCAGTCCAGTAGTAATGTAGTATAGGATGATTAATATACATTATATTACATTATATTATATCAAAAAATGTAATATGCAAATATTAAATTTTTTTATATAGTACTATTACAAATTTTATATTTTTAATAAGACATAATTTTTTTATGAAATATAACACAATTTAATATAATATGTATTTATATTATATTACCATTATACCAAAAAGGTTTTTTTTTTTTTTTTGGCGACACCTGTATTATCACTCGAACAGAGTGTAACTGCTATAAAGCAAGCTTTGCTGCCATCTGCTGGAACTTCACCTCATTCACATCGGCTTATCTTAAATCACAAGTCGTTTACCTAGTGTATTTGTACAAGAGCCTATTTTTAATGGCCCTTGATGACACTTTTACCATCAGTCTGCACATGTTGTTGTCATTGCAGCTTTGCACCTTGAGTCCGTGCCACATAGTAGACACCGCTAAACACGAGCTGCCCCAGCCCAGAGCTCGTGTGTGTTCAGCACTTATTTGATCAGCTCGTGTTGACAGATCATACCTAATGCTCGTAAAGGAATGTTTGGACGAGTTACTCCGAGCTCAGTCACGCCCTTGAGTGAGCTTGATCTGAGAGCAAATGTCAATGACTCGCCTCACAAGTTTGTTTTGCGGGTGAAGGTGTAGCGGAGAGGTTCTTCTGTCATCCTATAATGATTAAAAGCGTCTCAGGTTACTTATGTAACCATGGTTCCCTGAGTAGGGAACGAGACACTGCGTCCTCTAGGGGTCCCATAGCGACCCCTAGAGGACGCAGTTCGAAGTTCCCATGAAAGGGAACCATCATTTGATGTGTAATATCTGGCTTGTGTAATATCTCGCTCCATATAACATAAGCAAAGGGAAACCGCACAGGACAGATCGGAAAATCAGAGTCAAAAACAAAAACAGCACTGCTAATCTGATAAAGAAGAGGAATTTACGTGTCTTTTCTCATTTATTTCAAATACAAAGATACATCAACATTTAGCATAACACTTGATCAATGATGATTTGAACACTTTGTTTGTGCATTTGTTAGTTTTGGCGTGGCTGTCATTATAATAAAGTAATGTGAATGTCACCGGGTTTAGAGCGCAGGTAGATCTATCTGGCAATGATTTTAAACCACTTACACGTGTTTGCTAGAAATAATATTAACTCTGAACATTTGATTATTTACTTTTGTAAATAATCCCCCCCCCCCTCCCCCTTTTTTAAATACAAAGATTAATCCTTTTTTTTCCCCCTTTGTAGATAAATTGTCTGAAAAGTGTTTTAAGAATAAAGATTTGGACAGATTTTGGATGGATAAAGACTTTGATGCGTAATTTTATTTGTTGCATAACATTTTGAATGTTGACATAAAAATACATAGATTTTAAATGTTTTACATTTTAAATGTAATATACTGTAAATTATGACTATTAAAGTAATTGAAGTAATTAAAGTAAATCATAAAATAAAACTGGTTTTTAACAAATAACAAATACATTTTAATATTAACATTCAATTTGATTAATAATTTATTATAATTATATATAATAAAAAATAAAATTATATAATATAAGAAATTATAATAATAACTATAAATAACTATACAATAAAATAAATGCATTTATAATAAAAAATATATAGAATTACATATAATTAATTATATAATTTTTTTATAAAATGTATTTAAAACAAATATAATAATTGTAATAATAGAATAGAAACAATATAAATTGTATGCAATTGTAAATAAAATAAAATAATAATACTATTGTTTGTTCCACTGCATATTTACTGTATTTTGACAGACACACACACACACATATATGTATATATATATATTTATGTGTGTGTGTGTGTGTGTGTGTGTGTGTGTGTGTATATAATTTTAAATGTAATTGTAATATAAATGATAAATGTATTAAATAAAACTGTAAACAAACATCATTCAATAAATATATTAAATATGCACATAATAATAATAAATAAATAAATACTTAATAAATTATATTATACAAATAAAATATGAATAATGTTAATTAATATAAAAAAATTAACAAATTAGTATCAACTTATATATTATTAACTTAAATATTTAGCTTCATATTATGCAAGTTGAGCATAATTATAATGCAAGTTATAATTATAATGCAAATAATAGAATACAATAAATATAAATAATAAATGTATTAATAATAAATAATTAATTCTATATAAATATATATTTTATTTCATAAACTATATAACTATACAAGTAAAACTGTAGTAACATAATATAACAATTGTAAATATATATATCAGACATATTTAATTTTAGTAAACTTTTAGAATGAGTTACTCTTATTATTAATTATCTAAATTAATGTTATTTTGAACAGCCAGATTACATTGAAATTTGTTACCAGACATGTCCTCTATATATACATTTCTCTCATTTCTTTGAAGACATTGAAACTGCTTTAAAAGGTATCCTTCACTGATCCCGAACGTCCCTTACGAGCTCAAAAACAGTGTTTCAACCCCACACCGACTTGAACTTGTTTATTTGTCCCAACACCCACTAATAACGGGGGATCAATTTTGTCATGAAGCACATCATGCAAAGCTCACGTCACCAAACGCACACACTTACACATGTCACTCGCTCAAACCGAATGTTGACTCCCGAGTTATTGGTCATCCAGCATTCAGCATAACAAGTTTATGGCTACAAAGTCTACTATGTTCCAGAGTCCAGCCGAAAGAGACCTTGAGGAGTCATTTCAGAGAGAGACGGAGGGGAAACAGAAACACGGCAAGCAGAAGGGACTGTGACCTCGAGCGGCCGCTGATTACGCAGCCACACGCCATCAACATGTAACAGCAGCGAGTTCACTCACTCTAGTGCCCTTGATGCACTGACATGTACTGTGATACAGCACTTATCACCTGCTATTAAGGACATTATTACCTAATTAGACTATAGACAATGCTGTACACCTCCAATATACAGATTAGTGACCAATACATAACTTAACACAACTTTATTCAGTCCCTGTGTGGATATAGCCTACCCTCAAAGTTTAAAACATTTTGCAATTCAATTCAAAATATTGTAGAGCACAAAATATGCTTGATTTAAATTGTAAAGTATTTATAGGTTATGATAATATTGGCTGCACAAACAGTCATCAAATCAGAATCATCATTAAAAATATGGGAATTATGAAAAGCTGACACAAAAGTGCTAATTTGTCAAAAATAGCCAATCATTGGCTATTTTTGTTAATTAAAATAAATGAATAAATAATATTGTTATAAAAAAAAATGACAGATTGAGCTTTAAAGTATTAGGCTTTTTATTGCATAAAGAAATATTTTTCTTCTTTTGATTTTTAGGGTGAAACAGCTATTTTTGATAGATTAATTTCATAAATATTCAGATTACAGGCTTTATCCCCTCAAATTACTGTAGTGCATAAAATATGCTTGATTTAAATTGAAAAATATTTATAAATTATGGTACAAACAGTCATAAAATCAGAATCATCACTGAAATAAATTATGAAAAACCTGTCACATACACGCAAATTTGTAATTTAATCAGTGACTAAATTGTCTCTTTTTTATGTGTGTATCATTGTTTATTATAAATAAAAAAAAATGTAAATGTTGTCATAAAAATAATGGCAAAATAAATATTCAAGTGTTAGGTATTCTGCTCTTTATGCAATGAATATCTCCTATTGCATAATCATTTATTTCTTCCTTTGATTGGAGGCTGAAATGCGGATATTTCTGTGAGATTCCTTTCATTATTGGTAAGGTGAATGAGTGAAGAGCAGTGTGAGTGGATGCTGGCAGAGGTCATGTGGTGCATGATGGTGATCGAGTGTGTGGTTATAGTTCTGGAGTTCAGCACACAGAACACAGGCACTGCCTGAACCCGAGCGCTGGCATCCGTCCAGCAATACACCAACGCTGACCTCCTGACACACACAACACACAACACACAGCACACACACAACACACAGCACACAGCACACACACAGCACACACACAACACACACACAACACACACACAACACACACACAACACACAGCACACACACAACACACACAACACACACACACCTGAGCACACACACAACACACACACAACACACACACAACACACACACAACACACAGCACACACACAACACACAGCACACAGCACACACACAGCACACACACAACACACACACAACACACACACAACACACACACAACACACAGCACACACACAACACACAGCACACAGCACACACACAGCACACACACAACACACACACAACACACACACAACACACACACAACACACAGCACACACACAACACACAGCACACAGCACACACACAGCACACACACAACACACACACAACACACACACAACACAACGTGGTGGACAGCTACAATACAGCATGTCCCAAAATATAATGTAATATAATATATAATTAGAAAATATAATGTCATATATTAAATAATACTTTTCCATATATGGGAAACTAGTG